GGATGAATCTCTGAACATAATATTCAAATCAAATTTAACTATACAATTTCTTTATATTCTAACTCTATTTAAGCAGAACTTAAAGCAATTATTTACCTTCTACTTATTTTACTAATAAACTTTTAAAGCAATATACACCTTGACAATCTATTAGCTTTAAAAAATATTTTATTATTTTCTTCCTTACACAAATTCTTACATATTAATAACTAAAATATTTTATTTATTATTCACTATTTTATTTAAATAAAATTTCTTAAAATCTTTTTTTATAAAATTAAATCTTATTTTAATAATTTTTTTTATAATCAAGCTGATCTCTTATCTAAACAAGATACCCTTAAACACTTAATTAAATCCAATTTTATAACATTATTTTTTGATCATTTAAATAGCATGACTATATAATATCTACTAAAACCTGATTATTTTTACAAAATACAATTACTTTACAATCACTTCTTTCTTGGTTACAACTTAAATTCTTTCAAAACTCATTCTTTATTAAATGCTCAACAATTATTGACATTATCAATTCTCTAAATAATGATCAAAAATTCTATATATTCTGTCCTAAAATTATTAATAACAACCTATCTATTATGCAAAATCTTAATTTATAATATTCACTTTTATATACTACTTTAAACTATATCTATTGTAAAATTTCTGAAGACATATCATATTTCTTTACATATCCTAAACAAAAATATAATCTTTAACAAATTTTTCAAACTTTAATTTCAAATACTACTCAAGAATTAAATATCTTTTCTGAATTTTTAGATAAAATCTATATTATCTTGTTACAACAAACTAACACTCTACTATACTCTTACTTTTTCAATTTTATTAAAGAGATCTTCTCTATATCCCAATATGATAATATTAAAATATTATTTTATAAAACAACATCTTTCTTTATAGCCCAGTACTGACTTCATAGCATATTTTTAGTATTTTTAGTATACCTTTGCTTTAACCTCATACTTCTAATACAGATAGTCTAGAAGAACTGTGATCTGTTCTTGGTATATTAAAGCCAATTCAATATCCTTTTTCTCTAGTCTGAAATCTGGTGACCTGGTTGATGGTACTCCTTACCTGCCCTATCAAATGCTTCTTTAAATTGGTTTTATTAATATATATAGTTTATATATAACATTTTTTAACAACAATAAAAAAAAGCTTACAACATAACTAAAAAATCTAAACCTTTAAAAATATATTCTTTAACTCTATCTTCTTAATCTAATTCTAATACTACCAATACACCTACTATAAATCCACCTATATCTATTAAAAACTGGTTAATTCTAGACTATACACTTACTAACTGTATTTACTAAATGCCAAAACTATCACTTTAGGTTTTCTTCAACTTTTTTATACTTAAAATTAATTTGAAATAATTAATAATAGTATTATATAAAAATAGAGATGTAATATCATATTGGGTGTTTTGAATAAGTAACACAAATATAGTTTAGAAATCTTTAATATAATTACTTCTATTATTTAATAAAGTTTCTATTTTGGTATAACAAAAAAAAAATAAAAATAAAAAATATTAGCAACTATTGTATCAGCTTTTTTAAAAAAAATACTCTAAACTCAAACTTAATAATAACTATCTAGATGTTATTTACTCAACAGTAATTAAACATCTTTTGTAAATTCTACATAACAATTCTACTATTAATATATCAAATTCAACTATTGTAGAAATCTTTAAGACTAATAAAAATTCAAACAAACTTAAAGAAATCTTTTAAAATAATCTGTTATATAAGAAATTTAATTTTTATACAGATGGATCAGTAACTAATATTGAAACTAAATAAAGTTTAATGGATATTAAATAGGTTTAAATCAATAGTAATAACTAAATTTTTTACAAATTCTTAGTTAAAATTTATCTTTGGCTATCAGCCTATAAGGCAAAACTCTTTTCTATTTTATTAGCAATTTTAACTATATCTTGTAATACAATACTTTAAATTTATACTTTTTTACAATCTTTTATCTCTAAATTTTATAAAGTTTTTATTTAACATAATAATTCTACCAAATTTTTTAAATTTAATGTATAACCTTTATGATATACATTTCTTAATATTATTAAATTCTTTAATCTAAATATTGATTTTTATAAAGTTTAAGCTTATATAGATAATATTTTTAATAACATAACTGACTCTTTAGCAAATCAATACACCTTTTCTTTACCTTTAAACTTCTAATATACAAATATTTACAATCTTTTTTATATTCTACAATAAAAACAAAACTTTGTTAAGTTTTCTACTAGATATTTTATTAAAAATATCTGTAAAATACACATACTGACAATATAGTTTTTAAAAAAAAGAAACACTGAATAAACCTATATTAATTATTATATAGACTAAAATTCATGTAACCATATCTTAATTATAATCAAAAACCCTCATCTAACTTTACTAGCTTTAAATTTAACCAATTCAAAGCCTTCAAAATTAAAACCCTTCTAAATTAACTACCAACATACTTTTCTCTTTACAATATCTATCTAATGATCTTTACAAATGTTAATTGCTTTTGATGCAATCTTTTTGACTTTCACTCATACTAGTTAACTTGCTCTAATTCATCTCTTATTATAATTATTATTAACTCATCAATTCAGCACATTTTATCTAAAGCAAACCTCAACTTATTTATTAATTAACTACATGAACTTAATTACAAAATTCAAAACCCTCTTTTATTCGACTGAATACCATTTCAAGCAAACTCGGCTATTGTTGAGAAATCTTTAATCAAACTTTTAAAAACATTTAATATTAGAATTTTGTACATAATATATGCAATACATTGGCTGGCATAATTTTCAGCCAATCACAGACTTGCATAATTTTCAGCCAATCACAGGCTTGCATGCTATGTGATGCTGATTACAGTAATTTAAAAAGCATAAATTTTCGATTTCCAGATTATACGTAGTGTATTGTGCATAAAATTGCTGGCCACACTAATTTGAAAAGGGTGATACAAGAAATTTATGTTATGCCTTTTGTGAAATACAGTTCTTAAGTATATTACCTAAACCATGGTTGAACAAGCGATCAAAACTCGTATATTTATTGATTATGCCTTTTGAACCAATTTAATTTTAATTATTATAATAAAAATCTCATTAACAAAATATTCTTTCGACATAGAAATAGCTCAAACTACTCCTTAAATCAAAAATAAAATTTCGTGAGATTTTTAAGATTCTAGTTCAGATAAATATTAGTGCTGAATTCGGAGATACCAATAAATCACAAAATTCTGGGTGAATATAAACACACTAAACTTGATTATTCAAAATTATACTTTTTGAGTTTTTTCTATTCATATAATATAGAAAATAATTAATTTCTAACACAGATGATTATCATATGTAGAGTTAGCGCCTCAATCTTGATAGATTTTTAAATCCGGATTAATCCATTTTTATCTGAATATTTAGTAATACTCGGATTATCCAGATAGTTAGATATAAAAGTTCTATTTCTAATCTGCATTAAGACAGTCAGGTATGGGTACCCTTATGTCAAGAAAATCCCGGTCTGAAGATCACTCCGAATCCAATAAATTCACAGGATCTTGAATAACAAACCAAACACGAAAAACATAAGAAATTGTTAAAAAACAAAAATTTTGCAATGATAACTAACTTACGACCTCTATTTAAAAGTTTTCTAAATGAAATTTTACTTATAGGACACAAATTTTAATGTCAGATATATGAGTGACGAAAAGGTAATGAGTGAAATTGATTTACAGGTTTTCCCTTTTCGTCACTCATATTGGGATTTTTACGCGATTTAGAAATACACTATTCAATTTTCTGATTGAAGATCTTTCGCTAAAAAAAGAAATGATCTGCGTTACACGAATTTGAAAAATCCCTGTCGGGTTTACTAATTTTCCCCACCAGTTCCTATTGGACGCTTAGAAATCTTGCCCCTAATTGGACGAAATTGATTACAAATTCTGATCTGAAGAAAATCAAATAATGTACGGCAAAAATCATAAAACTATGAAACATATTATTCTTCTTGGTACTAAGGCATGAATAATATTAAAATTTCGCAAGGAATTTTTTTTATTAAACACGAAAGGTGGTTTCATTAATAAAATTACGAGTTACTGACGATTTTTGAAAAAAATCGTTTTTTTTCCATCATTTTTATGTTACACCAGATCTTTAATTTAATTGTCAATGAAAAATTGCGTAATCTATTTTGTCCAATCAGAGATAACATTTTCAGACATCCAATTAGAAGTGGTGGGGAAATTAGGGCACCCAAGATCGTCCATATTTGCTGTTAAGTACTCTGATAGTAAAATTGGGGATCATCCCGAGTTTAACAATCGGAAACCTAAATCGGGCGAATTTTAAATGCTAATTAGTAATGACAAAATAGTTCGATCATGAATTTAATAATTAAAATCTTTCTATTCAATGCCATATAATAGGAATTAATATTCCTTAAGACTTTCTCTCCAGCAATCTAATCTATTTTGCTGAACACGCTGGAAAATAAAAGCATTACTATACTTTATTTTTATTTTCATCCAACACATGACCTAACAACGTATGCTCGGATTTGCATAATATTACGCAGTGATAGTTCAGGTTTAATTTATTTACGTAATCACATATGGCCAATAACCCATCAATCAAATAGAATTGGACGAACGGGTTGCCCATTCGAATAGAGGCTATTCTTAATCGAGTTAATTAATAATAACCTAAATTGAAAAATGATGTCGAACAAATTGCTATAGATTTTCAATTCAGTATCTTTTCAAGTGATCTTTCCTTAGATAAATACTTTTTGGTTGCTTCTGATTTAATATAAATACACACTCAATTTTACAAATTTTACAGGCTTGATAAGAAGCTTGCAAAAATAAAATAATAATAATAAGAAAAATTAACAATAATTGACAGAAAAGCCAAAGCTATGTTAGATTTTTTGAGGCAAAATCTTTTTTTATTGATTACCTTTGTTATTGCTAATGCATTTTATGCAATGGCCGCTCCCGTGCATGATGAAATGAATCCTGGCTTGGTGGTCCGTGATGAGTAAGTACCTTATTCTGTTTTTCAATATAATTATCATTTGAAACAATTTAATACTAATATTTCATATTTACATTTATTTAACTAAATAATAATAGACCGTAAGCTATTTTTCTGTAATTATTTTTTGAAATAATTTCGATACTAATCTTTTGTTTATATACATTTTATTAATAGACCGTAAGTTATTTTTCTGTTTACTAATACAACTAGCTTTTGAACCAATTTAATAATCATCTTTCATTTATACTTATTTATATAAATAATAACAGAAAGTAAGTTATTTT